GGATACTGTGCTAGATGGACCTTTGGTCTGACCCGGCACGGCCTTTCTTATGTTCTTAATCGGGGGGGGGGAATGCTTGCACATTGTTGCTGAAGGGCATCAAAAAAAATCTCAAAATTCTGTCAGGTATCAGATTAAAGTCCTCTCTTCTTCTTAACCACAAGTTACTGAGCAGCACTTCGTTAAATTCAAAATTGAGTGCCCCACCCTATGACAGTTTAATCATCTCTTCCTTTTCCTTGACAGGAAACCATCTGGATTGATTTCTATTGACAATGAATTCCCGATTCTTACCTGGGCACCAGGAAACTTCAGCTCCAATTCACCCTTGTTCCAAGGCTTCAGGTTCCCAGATCCCCTCTTCAGTTCCCTCTGAGACAGGGAGCTCTGTCAGTCCCACTGCAGGACCTGGCCTCAAGGGACAGTCTTTCCCACAGGTCTCCTCCTGCCCTGGTTATTGGACTGAACTCCTTCCCCCTTCATAAAAGCCCTCCTTCATGGAGCCGTGCTGTGATTCAAATATGCTTCCCCAGCCGACCAGTGTCCAAGCTCCAGCCCTAGATCATAGAGGCTCCTGTGAACTTTGGACTCTCATACTGGGCCCCTCTCCCTTCTCGTTAGAGCTGGGCTATGATTCAGACAGGCTCCCCCAGCACACCAATAAGAACGGCCATACTGGGTCAGACCAATGGTCCATCTAGCCCACTATCCTGTCATCTGACAGTGGCCGGTGCCAGATGCTTCAGAGGGAATGAACAGAAGAGGGCAAATATCAAGTGAGTATTCCCTGTTGTCCAGTCGCAGAATCTGGCAGTCAGAGGCTTAGGAACACCCAGAGCCTGGCTAACCGCCACTGATGGACCTATCCTCCACAAACTTATCTACTTCTTTTTTTAACCTAGTTATACTTTTGACCTTCACAACATCCCCTGGCAACGAGTTCCACAGGTTGACTATGCGTTGTTTGGAGAAGTACTTCCTGTTTGTTTTAAACCTGCTCCCTGTCAATTTCATTAGGTGACCCCCAGTTCTTGTGTTACATGAAGGAGTAAACAACACTTCCTTATTCACTTTCTCCATGCCATTCATGATTGTATAGAACTCTATCATATCCCTCCTTGGTTGTCTCTTTTCCAAGCTGAACAGTCCCTGTCTTTTTAATCTCTTCTCTCATGGAAGCTGTGCCATACCCCCCCCATCATGTGTTTTGCCCTTCTCTGTACCTTTTCCAATTCTAACATACATTTTTTTTAGATGGGGCGACCAGAACTGCACACTGTATTCAAGGTGTGGGTGTACTATGGCTTTATATAACTGCATTATAATATTTTTTGTCTTATTATCTATCCCTTTCCTAATGGCTCCCAACATTCCGTTAGCTTTTTTGACTGCTGCTGCACATTGAGCGGAGGTTTTCAGAGAACTATCCATAATGACTCAAAGAGCTCTTTCTAATTCAGCTAATTCAGACCCCATCATTTTGTATGTATAGTTGGGATTATGTTTTCCAACATGCATTACTTTGTACTATCGCCCTTCTGCTTCTGGTTCCCATCCCAAGGAGCCTCCCTCCTGACTCAATGTTCCCCTGCAATTCTCTCCAGGCTCTCCTGAGCCTCACCTACCCACTGGATGTTACATTAAGGAAGTATCTACCTGATTAACAGATGGTGCCAGTCCATTGCTCTCTTCAACACCTGTTTCCTTAAAGAATCAGATCACGGAACAGGGGTTGGCTAGCCCCAGGTTCCACCTCTTTAGAGGGGACAGAACACCCTGTTACAGGGTTCCAGTTCCAACAAATTCACATACGACAATTAGGGAACCCCTGCACTAGCTTTAGGATCACATCTCATCATGTCACATAGGCCCATCAATGGCTATTAGCCAGGATGGGCAGGAATGGTGTCCCTAGCCTCTGTTTGCCAGAAGCTGGGAATGAGCGACAGGGGATAGATCACTTGATGATTACCTGTTCTGTTCATTCCCTCTGTGGAACCTGGAACTGGCCACTGTTGGAAGACAGGATACTGGGCTAGATGGACCTTTGGTCTGACCCATAGGGCCATTCTTATGTTCTTATTCATTTTTATAAGCTCTGCATGACCTTCCTTGAAATGTTAATGTTTCACTCATTTAACCCAGCCTCTTGGCACTGCTTTACACTGTCACTATCATGCACTCACACCAGGGAGATGTTTGCTATGCTAGATTTAGCACACACTACCCTATGAGAAAACAAACAGTTTTTTCTTTATAGTCCTATCAGAGGATCTCTCTTTGGTTGCTAAGAAACTACAATTTTATTCATTATAAATCATTTAAAGCAGCTCAGCAGATGCAGATTTAGTAGGCGGACAGAGACATTCCATTTTACTAGGAGCACCTCACATGCTGCATAGGGCATTAAATGCCTCAGAAGCTCCTTGAGATACAAAAATTCAGAAAGCAGCTCTGATTTAAAAGCTATGGTTCTTGACATTGCAGACTGTATTTATCTGAAGACACTGGCCTTTCCATTGACTGTTTAAATAATATTTCCATTGCATGAACAGGTTATGCTATTAAGAACAGGTTCAAAAGGGCCATCAGAGATTTTAAGTGGAGTAATTGACCCAAGGCATCATGTTTTCACATAGCTATTAACACAAGTATACTTTTTAAATTATATAGTTATATCTTGGCAGAGAACATTTAAAGTGGTAACTGCTGAACTCAGCCTCCCCCCCCCCCGCCCCTCCTCCGCTCCCCGACCTACCCCGCTCCCCAGCCCCCCTTCCTCCTACCCTGCTCCCCCGCCCCCCTCCTCCTCCTCCTCTTCCTCTCCCCAACCCCCACATACCGTGCTCCGCGCCCCAGCCCTCCTCTCCCCAGTACCCCCTCCTCCCCCGTGCCCTACCCTGCTTCCCAGCCCCCGCTCCGCCTCCTTTGCTCCCCCTCCTCCTCCTCCTCTTGCCCTGCTTCCCAGCCGGCTCGCCCCTCCTCCTCCTCCCTCCTGCCCTGCTCCCCTCCCACTCACCGTTCTGCGCTGCGGCGGGACCCGAGATGAGGCTGGCGGCGGTCAGCAACAGGCAGAGCGCGAGGGGGAGCGACCCGGAACCCGACATCCTCCTCTCAGGCCGGACACAGCGCGACACGGCCCGGGGCGGGAGGGGAGGCTACAACGAGAAGCAAACAACGATCGACTCCGTCCTTCTGCCTCCGACCTCCTACCGCAGCCTTAAGCTTCGCGAGACTTCGAAACGGGAGGGAGCGAAGCTCCACCCACAGAGCTGCCTGCTCACGTGACGGGGTCTGGGAGACAGTGACCTGTGTCACGTGAGAACACGGGCACCTAACCTGCTCGGCCACCGTGCTGCAGCCCCTCACTGCCACCTCCCCTCCCGCCCACTCAGAGCCCCCCTCCGTGCTGCAGCCTTTACTGCCACCTCCCCTCCCCCAGCTCAGAGCCCCCCCATCCTTCCTACAGCCCTTTAATGCCTCCTCTCCTCCGCAGCTCAGCCCCCTCTCCCTGCTGCAGCCCTTACTGCCACCTCCCCCAGCTCAGAGCCCCCATCCCTGCTACATCCCCTTAGTGCCTCCTCCGCCTCCCCCCAGCTCAGAGCCCCCCATCCCTGCTACATCCCCCTTAGTGCCTCCTCCCCTCCTCGAGCTCAGAGCCCCCCCCCCCCCATCATAAGAACAGCCATACTGGGTCAGACCAAAGGTCCATCTAGCCCAGTATCCTGTCTACCGACACTGGCCAATACCAGGTACCCCAGAGGGAGTGGACCAACAGGCAATGATCAAGTGATCTCTCTCTTGCCATCCATCTCCATCCTCTGACAAACAGAGGCTAGGGACATCATTCGTTACCCATCCAGGCTAATAGCCATTAATGGACTTAACCACCATGAATTTATCCAGTTCTCTTTTAAACGCTGTTATAGTCCTAGCCTTCACATCCTCCTCAGGTAAGGAGTTCCACAAGTTGACTGTGCGCTGCGTGAAGAACTACTTCCTTGTATTTGTTTTAAACCTGCCTATTAATTTCATTTGGTGACCCCTAGTTCTTGTATTATGGGAATAAGTAAATAACTTTTCCTTATCCACTTTCTCCACATCACTCATGATTTTATATACCTCTATCATATCCCCCCTTAGTCTCCTCTTTTCCAAGCTGAAGAGTCCTAGCCTCTTTAATCTCTCCTCATATGGGACCCGTTCCAAACCCCTAATCATTTTAGTTGCCCTTTTCTGAAACTTTTCTAGTGCCAGTATATCTTTTTTT